TTAAGAATGATTAGAAACTACACAATAATTAAGCTATACTAATTGCTACTTGTGGTAGCAAATATGCCTTTTAAAAAGTCCACACAAAATTGGTTTCCAAAATGTATATCGCACACTGCTAAAAAAAAACCCTCTTGTACAAACTGCAATAATGGTTTTAAAAATCACAAAAATATCTTCACGAATTCTACAATAGCAGTATAGTATACATATACAGTTCATCGGTTCTCTACATACTAAGAATGTCGAAAAAGTTGCTATACATATCGCAACCCGTGAGTGGCAAATATTTAATGGCGGTCGGCCTTTCTTGGAAGCTTGCGTCGCGTGAAGTGTTGTAGGCGCAGGCGCGCCAAGTATGAGAATTCAGTCGTTAAGCGCTTCGTAACAAACGGAATAATACAAATATTTGAATTTTAAAATGAAGAGCGAAACTTTCATTACTTTATTTATTTATTTTAGAGTTCTTAAGTACGTGACGAAACCATAGACAATTTTCACATGGTCGGAAGTTGACTTGTTTTCTTTAAATTTATGCGCACGTGAGAAATGAGTAATGAAGAAAACTAAAAATGGAGACTGTTGGATCTCTAATACCTTGACTATCAAGAATCTGTTGTGGTTGTGATGCATTGGGACAAGTTTAATAAAAGTAATATGTGAAGTATGTACTATATTTATATTGAAAGTTCTTAAAACTATCCGTAAAGTCTTACCGTGGTCTTAATTAATCAGTGTTTAGTTTTATGATAACCTGCTCTTAACTCTAATATCCGGCTGTTTGAACTCCTTTTGCATTGTGTATCAAAGACATTTTTAATTGTACTCGTACTTTTGATCACAACACTTAGAAATACATTACTTTGATTTTTTTCCGATTAAGTTTTCCAACTTCAGTATGGTTTTACCTGTCTCACTTTACTTGCAGAGAAAATATAAACGGTATCTTCATGAATGTAAAAATTCAACTACCATGAAAGTGATGTTTTTTTGGTCGAATATAATATGAACTCCAGTTCAATGGAACGCAATAAACAAAATACTATCACGTTGCGTATTTATTATAGTAATTAACGAAACGAGTGGATAAAGTTGGGTAGTGACTAGTGACGCGTTTTCTTCTATACCACGTGTGCAATTATATCCCTGTATCCACATGTTAAATGTAAACGAAAAAATATTGAACGTAACAATAATTCAAATTTTGCGAACTTGACCACATCTTTACCTTTTGAGACATACATTTGATTATGTATTGCCTTTGAAAAATATGTATTTTAGTGGGCTTTGCATTTTTTTTCAAGAAATATTTGCAAATAGAAGGTATTGTACACGCTACGGATAAAATATTGGCTAATAAAGTCATGAAATCATTTCTTCCCTCGAAAAACAGAGGCAGGCTAAAATAAACTAGTCACTTTCAATACAGGTTTCCTATAGTGTACGTTTTTACAACAGATAAACACAACTGGTGTTTAAATTTTTTACGTTTGTAATTCTAAGACCAAATGATTTTCATGTAAAACATTTAATTTACTCTTGTTAAACATTCGACGTTCTTGCATTAGTTAGCTAGATTAACATTCACTTCACCAATTTAGTTTTATTTATTCGTTGTTTATTCTTGTGTGTAGTTGTTGTATGTACGTAATCTGTGATGTACATTTCGCCGACTGGAAATACCTTGACACGTCTGTGTTAGTTTCTTAATTAAACGATTTGGCTCCTTGTCCAAGTTATAATTGGTAGATGTGGAGTTTTAATTGCACCGTAGAATTTTAATTGCACGCATGCTATTAACGTATGAGATAATAGATTTTTCGTGGAATTAATGAGCATATTTTGTTCATTAAACGAAAAATTAAATTTTGATGGTTCAAACCATGATAGTCGCTCAGTGTCATCCAAAAGCGGTTATCAGAAATTAAACTACTAAATGGTTCAAACGAAATGCAAGCGTAGGCGGAACCTATACTTCCTGAAGAAGCAACATACGAAACGCCACTCTTAAATACATTCGCATGTTTCATACGCAAATATTTCTCGCCGTTTGTGACGCGGCAATGACGAATCCATTGTTTGCCGTTGCTCCGGATATGGAAGGCTATGACTGGTATTGCTCGAACAGGAATAAGCGAATGGCATTTTCCATCGGCACGAGCCTTTGTTCGGAAACGAATGCCATTAAGTGTTTCTGGGAATATTCTGCACATGCATTGTGAAATTAAATTTTGTGCCTGTGAACATGACAGAGCAAATACAAATTGATCATTAACAGGTAAGCGTAAATTTCGCGTAAGTTAACAAAGAAATGCATTCGCTCTGTTCATGAAAACGTGACGCAATTAAAAAAGTCATGTTGCATGAGCAGGGTTCTATTTTAAGCTGTTGATTTTCAGTCCAAAGGCAATGCTGTTTACTACGTAGACGGCATGTCTTGTTTTTTAAGATACTTTGACAACAAATGAACTTCGGTAAACATTTTCTTGGCTTAAATAAAGGACGACATTTCACCTGCCAATCTTCCATTAACTTCAACATTCACCAAGTAATATTATTTGTGTTACTTCCGCTTCAATACACTCTTCAAGAATTATGTGTTTTTCCTAAATTAGGGTTACCCACATACTACAGTAGACGATTTGTGAAAAAGGTCTGGAAATACAGAATTCCTTTTTTACATAATCTAATTCACGCGAGGAATCGTCTTGTAATTCAGAAATTGCTTCAATCTTTCGCAGTACACACGCTGATACCGCAATCACTACAATATAAATTCTATTCAATGGTATTAATCTGTATTGGAAATTATTTTTATATATACGAGATATTATTAAACTAATTTTCCTAAACATTTTATGATCGCCCGTTAGCAGATTAAGAGAAGGTGCAAAAATTTCATTTCTTTAGAGAGAAATGACGAAAGAAGGGTTCTAAGTTCACTCGAGCAAGAGGGCGGAAGCGACAAGCACGCGATCCCAGATTGGGCCCGTAGCAGGTGTATTGTGGGTTGCGTCGAATGAAGCTGCAGGCGAAATGGCTCGTTGCAAACTGCAAATGAATCTCCGTCGTTTAATGGTGGCGTAGGGCTGTATATAAAACGGGAATGACCAAAAATCATTACAGGAAATGTTTGCACGTCGTGTGAAATTATTTATGCGATGTCTATTTGTTGAAATATTGCGAGAATCGTACTCCACATTGGTTGCTTATATTGCACTTTAACGCCTAGTTTTTAATAGTACTCTTAATTCTATTATATATGCATATTCCTAAATGTTTAACTGTACACCAGTCCTCAAATGACCGCACCTGTCCATATTTGTGAGTGATACGGTGTGTGCTGGCGCTTCGTTCTTCCAATCGACTAAAATTATATTCGTGCTAGTCGCTAGTTTCATACTGAATTATTTATTACATCTGTAGGTAACAATAGCTGGTTGTAAACGTCAACAGTGCATTAAAATACTAATTTGTAAGTAGTAAAAAGAGAAATATCGAATAGTTGTTTCTGTAAAACAAGGTTTATTATTTAATTTAGTCTGTGGCATTATTTTTGAGTTTCGAAGTTGGCAATACCTAGTATAGGTAGTATAGGTTGACTTCAGCTGTCATACATTTTTTCTGCATTGGTCACGAGACCACATGGTTTACATCGAAAATTAATTATCGTCAAACAGTTTGTGGTTATGTGTGGAACAAAATTTTAATTTAGGACGATTTCCACTCATAGCCCAAGAGAAACAGTACTGACAATATCATTATTTGTGCTGCACAATTTTTGAGCAGAGTTGTGAAATTTGCAGTAGTTTTTCATGGATTACTTCTCGGAATGCCGGTTAGGTTCAACATCATCTGATTCCTCAAAATATTTACTACGTTATGAATAAAAGTAAAAAGTATTTTTACTGAATAACTGCCCCAATAACTTTTTTCAAGATTATGCTTGCGAAAGATTTTCCAAAAAAGTCTTAACTAATTTAAACTTATTTTATTCGAAGATTAGGCCGGTAAGGGCAAAATTCTTTCTTACCATCTTGAATAGAGATTTTCAAATGAAAGTATTTTTTGGGGGGGATAGGGTACTTCAACTCAATCGAACATACAACCTTAACCCAAATTTGTAATGAAACAAAAGAAATGTTTGAACTGTTTATTTCTGATGTATAGTTGTTCTGCGCTTAAAAATGAACGAGACAGGCAATACGAAGAAAGGATAGGTTTCAATTTCTTTTTTCAACGTGCATACTACATTTACGTACTATTGTTAGCTGCCACCATGTTATACCAAAGTGCAGTTTAAATAAATTGATCTTATCTTACCAATAAAACTTATAATGCTATTAGCCCAGGTACTTTTTCGTAATACTAATTTCCCTGATCTCTTTAGTCTGAGTCTTTACATTTTACCTCGCCACCAAATCACATTTTTCACATTTTTACCGATGTTTTGCTTCCCTAATAATAGCACAGAAAGATAATTTAAATAATATTATAGAAGAGTAGAACCTCATTCTGTACGCAAATTTTCGTTGAAAAATGAACATACACCGCCAGAGGCGCAAAGTTCAGGTAGTTTTTATAACATTATGGCGAACTATTTGGACATCTACTCTTTGTATAAAATAGTTTTGAAAGTGGATATTGCTATATTCAGGAAAAATACTTCGAAACGGAGGTCGATATATACTGCATAACGTATCTGTATCGAGAGGATCGTGTTACGAGGAAAATATGAAAACGGTTGAATGATGCTATATGTTCTATTAGGGAAAGAATTACGGGAGGGAAGTATGAAAAAAAGTTAAAATTCTAGTTAATAAATAAATAAGTATATCTGAATCATTAAAATTCGGTAGAAAATAAAATATAGTATATACTACGGGGGTTTACGCCCTTGGCGCATGGGGGGCCGCATGACGCCCTTGGCGCATAAATAACTGTTACTTAAATGCCTCACGTCAGAGTGAATGAACGTATGTGTGTGTTGTCTGTTCCAGTGGTGCGGCGCGTGCTGTCGCGCAGCGGCGACGCGGCGCAGCAGCTGCGCGCGTGGCGGGGCGCGCAGGCGGCGCTGCGCCCTCTGGCGGGGGCGTTCCCCGCGCAGCTGGCCCTGGCGCGCGCGGCGGCGGCGGCCAACGGCGTCGCGCCCGCCGAGGGCGAGGACGGCGAGGGCGAGGACGAGGACGGGGCGGAGGGCGCGGGCGCGGTGGGCGCGTACTGGGTGCGCCTGCTCGACCCCGACGACTTCCTCGACATGACGTTCGCGCGCGCGCGCCAGCTCTGGGAGCAGGTGCGGCCGCTGCACCGCACGCTGGCGGGGTTCGTGCGCGCGCGGCTGGCGGCGGTGCACGGGGAGGCCGCGCTGGCGGTGGACGGCGCGCCGCCCGCGCCCGACGAGCCCCTGCTGCCCGCGCATCTCACAGGTGAGTTGAAATTGAATTGAATTAATGCCTTCTTTTACGTGGGGAGAGTCCTGGTATTCAGTCTGACCACGCAAATTTCGCTACGCTCCTTTCACCAACTAGCGGAGAAAGGAGGTTTTTCTTAGAACAGGCGATTTGAATTTAGCTCAGAGCCCTCATTTAAGCTTGAGGATCTTATACATGTAAGTAAATGGATCTGAGGATCTTATACATGGGCCAGCCGGCTTTACTTCTCCTTCGAAGGAAAGCGTACGAAGAATTTTTTTCGGCCTTAAAAATCCACGGCTTCGATCGTTTGAACCCGCCAACTTGGGTACAACAGTCGGTGGGCACCCCACCGCACTCGTTGTGCTGAGATTTGAACTGAGAGGTCGTTCGCCGGGAGAGGGGGCTCGGGGCGTCAACTGATGTCACCGTACTACCTCTGACCGGGAGGGCCTAGGGTTTCACTTCCCACGGAGGGGCAGGAATTTCGACACGAGCTTCTAAGCTAGGTTGGTCGGCACCGAATCTCACCATACAGCGGGAACTTACGGAACTAATGACCTCTGTAGTTGACCTACCCGGAATCACTATCAATCAATCGAGTCAGATGACGTAAATCGACTGTTACTGTGTCATCCAATTGAGGTCTTGATGGCATGGTAGGCACATTTAAGCTCTGTTCGATGACACGGTAACAACTGATCAAACGTCAACGGACTCTAAATAAATCGAAGTATACCCGGATGTAACTTTAATTAATGTTTAATTATCAATCTTAATAAAATGTTAAATTAATTTTAGCCTACTTGCACTAATATAATAAACGTAGAATATCGAATTAAAACATTTCTAAATTACCTAATTACTACTTACTAATTTTTCGTCGCATTTTCGATCTGGCTTGATATTATTCGAATGTGCTCGAGCCGTTTCTATCTCGCATGACAAATAAATGTATTTTCAAATTTATTATCTTGTGGCTACAAGAATTCTTTCTCAAGGTGATAAATATCTGCAAAACGTTAACGAAATAAAAGAGCAGCACCTCACACGCAATGCCTGGTCCCGATTTTTTCCTTTTGTCTGGTCCCTGGTCTGGTCGTAATTTCTTTTTCTTTGTTCAGTTTTCTCCGCACTCTTGCAGCTGAAATATTCTGTTTTTTTCTTTGTTAATTTCGTGCTCATTTCCCTTTTTGCGTGAAAATTTCGCGCCCGCACCACCTGATTTTTTTTCCTCTCTCTCGTTGATTCTCCTCCTTCCTTTCCCCTGCGAATCGTTCTGAGAGCGCTAAAGATTCATTCAGAATGAAGACATAAGCATAACGCATTGACGTAAACATTAACGTAAGTGATGGACTGAAGTATTCATCATGTCTAACATAAACGTAAGCAAAATAAGTGTTTCTATTGGCTGTGAGATATTCTAGTTTACTATTGGTGGGATGTGAGAATAGATTTCGAGGTATCAACCGTGTCCATGACCCATGATGGGATTTTGTGCACGTCATAGCGTCAGCTCTATTGATCTTCTGCGCATGCGCAAAAGATAGATTGTGCACCCTCGAACGTTAAAGCGCCAACTCCCTGGCACATAATATTAGTCCATCTATCGACTTCCATCCTATTTCGATACTCGATTTTGCGTTGTTTTGTGATTGTTTCATTGGTTATGTCTTACTTAAGCATAAGCACAGAAGCTTGCAGCTCGCAAGCTTTGAAGTTAACGTCTGCCGTGTTATGCGTAAGCGAACGCGTTGAGAGTCCGCTTATGGATGTAGTGCTAAGGCTGTGCTTGCGTTGTGGACGGGCCTTAACAGCCGCGCATGTGTGTGTGTGTGTTCAGGCTCCCTGCTGGGCGACGACTGGAGCGCGCTGGCCGACCTGGTGTACCCCAGCGCCCGCCTGCGCGCCCTCGACCACGCCCTCGACGAGAAGGTGAGTGGGCGCACGCCCGTGCACCGGCTAGGGGGGGATGTTTTCGAGGAGAAGCGTAGATATTAATACATCGATGTTTGCTTCAGATCGATATGCTATAGTGCTAAAAAAACACATCACCTACAGATAACGGTCATTAATTTTTCCTAACCCAATATTTAACAAGTATTAGTGAAAATCAGTTATATATTTTATGGGGATTGATTATATGACGTTTCTGATTCCATTGACTTCATAACTAGCTCGATTATTGCCAATAAAGTGGTGTATTTTCAGGTTGTCGATCGCCAGATGGCACGAAACGGTTTGCCTTTCACAACCATTCTACGGTTTAGTTATTTCATGATTATTTGGAACGTGGTGATATTAGAAAACTGCAATTTGAATCCTGACTACAAGGAGCATTGATTAGAAAATTAAGATGAGTCAAATTTAAGGCTAAAAGTTATTACATAGGGAGATCGCCGTTCATGTGAAAGTAAGGAGAATTAGCTCTCATAGGATCTTGTACACTACCAGCCTGCGACCGACTACGCGTGACAAACCTTACACTTAATTTCATTGCGCATATGTTAGATTCACTTTACACCCGTATATGCCAAATTAATACAGTGCCAAGTAAGCTGCAATGTTTTCATTCATGGGTATGCACTCGAATATTGATTCAATGGTCCGAATTCAATGATTGTGCGCTAAGTAGAAATTTCTTTGATTGAAAAGCGTGATTCCTTCTGTGATTTATCAATAGTTTATGAAACTGCCACTTCTAAATCAGAAAAATTAAGTAGCAATAGATTCTTAAGTCGCATCCATTGCAGAGCTATGGAAAATCACCAGAGGATACAAAGCAGAGGAAAATCACAGATGTGGATGACATGTGAGCACGAGTAATCAGTCTGAGAGTGAGTGAATAGCCATTCATCACAGTCTCCGTTTCTCTGCGGCTGTCTCCTTCAACTCCCTTCTACCAACGCTAGTGTTGGAAGGCGTCCCCGGGGCGAATTATGGCGCATGGGAGCAGGGGAGGGAGAGGGCGGGTAGCAAATGAGGTTAGGGACGTGAGCTGCTTGCGCTCAGCCTTGCAGTGTGCGCGGTCACGTACGGGCTGGGAATGATCAACTCCACGAAATGTGAACTTGAAATTGCATTTCTCTGGCGGACTTCAAAGATGTCCCGGAGATTTGAAAATTCTGTCCTAAAGCATAAACAATGGTTGGTATTCATAACCAAATCACCTCAAAAGTTGTTTCGGGTTACATTCAAACCAAGCAAGTACTCAGGGTGCCAGTATTGGTTATAAAGATGCATTAATTAAGGAAATATTTTTGTTAAAGACTGATGTTACTATAACGGGATCAAATACACCATCTGGCTGTTGTTGCTATTTTAGTTATTCAGTATATCTAGTTCATAAACAAGAGTAATTTTACATCCATTGACGTGACTGTCGAATATGAAGTTGCGTTGCCTTACAGGAAGGTATTTGATTAATAAAGAATTCTTTAATCTTAAAAAATCATTGCACCGTTAGTTCTCGGCGGGTGTTGGTGGAGAAAATTGTAAAAACTAAAACCCACCTAACGAGATCTCCAAGGACGTTAGAATCCAAATCGGCAATAACGAAATCTGTGAAAGGTTATTTCTTATTGTCACCAAAACCACTCTACGTCATATGATGAAACAGGATGTTGGGATCTATTCTGCTTGTCCTTCGAATGAATTACACAATTTCTATTTCTGTTTGTTCACTCGGCGTCTGATGGAATCACTAAATCCGGTTGTGGTTGTGGATCCGTGTTAAAATGCGAAAAATCGATGTTGTCCAGAGAGGGCCTATGTCGATTGTTGGGGGCGAGGTGACGAGGGCGTGCGTGGTTGCAGGGGCTGAAGGGGCGTGCCCTGTACGAGACGGCCCTGGAGACGCTGAACGCGTCGCTGGGCATCGAGGGACTGCCCAGCGAGGACCTCCTGAAGCAGGTCCGCTACGATGGCGAGTGTCCCACGCGCTTCGTGCAAAACTGCAGCAGCGCGAGCAGGTGAGGTGCTGGCTTCCTTTGCCTTCTTCGCTTTGCTTGCGAAATATTATTGTATTTATAACACAGTATTTTTCAATAGCTAGGGCAAAGCTGTATTCTCCAGTAGGTCTGTTAACCTGGACCTAAAGTTTAGAATATTTTGATAATGATGGTCGCCTTTGCAAGGAAAATATTTGTTTTAATTACGTTATAATGAAACGCGAAATCTGTAGTAATTAATTCATCGCTTAATTATTTTAAATTCGTTATATTTGATGAATGATTCGATTAAAAAGTTTGAAGAAAATACAATTCCATTTTTAACTGTTCACGCGCCCCCATTTTCCATTTGGCCTACGTTCTGTTATTTTAATTCTTTCTCTACATAGCAAGAATAGAAGTTGCTGTATTACGTGGGATTTCTTACCATTACAGATAGTAGTCGTTCCATTGCGGAAAGTGCAAAACAGAAAGTAGCCCTTTGTGTTCGTGGCCGACAGACAACACGGCATTGCCGTCAATTTGGCTGAGGTATCTCCCATTAAGTCACGGCCTTTTTTTTTCTGAGCTGCGCTGTAAAATAATTGCTGTTCCCTACACTTTCGAGATGCTCCTGCTATCAGTGGTTTTGATCAATAGGTCGCGATATAAGTCCTTTTATTGACAAAACTAAACCAAATGGATTAGTAGAAACTATTTGCATCGTCAATTGAGCTATAAATTTGATTCTTATACCATTATGGTCTCTTTATGAAGGAAAACTCTTCTCAGAATACGGATAAATATTATTAATCACGCAACTTTTCTTGAACCATGACCTTGCTTCCCCCTCTGGCACAATAAACAGTAGAGGGCAAAAGCTCCCAGCGAGCACTGATGACATTCCAAACACACATTCACTGGTTCGAAATATAAACTATTTTGTTGGAAACGAAAACGTCTGTAACAAAAGATGCCTAGAACTTCTGAGAAAGTTGAAACACACATTATTGAGAACATTGCGAAGGTACGACTGATTCTCCAGAGATTGGCATTGCCTCATAAAATCTAGTAGCCGATTTCGTAACTAATACGCCCTCTCTTGAATAAATCGTTGAAGAAGAGTTGCGCGAGTAATACTTGGCGCGCAAGGGCGCATACCAAGGAGCGGTGGCGCGGGTGGATTTCAGGGTGTTGGCGTGCGCGACGGCCGGCTGGCAGGAGTACGCGGAGGCCCACGAGGTGATGAGTCGCCTGGCGCACGAGCACCTGGGCGCCGCCGAGGACAAGAGGAACCTCATCCGCGTGGCCACGCGCTATTCAGGTACGGCACCTCGCACACCTTGACACACAAGGATTAATACAGATGTGTATTGTAAATGTGACAGGGTCATCATCCATAGTTGCAATAATATATTACCTTTACATTCCAAGCATTGCTCAATAATGTTACATAATTTTTATATCTATTTTTATATAATATAATATAATATATAATATATAATATATAATATATAATATATAATATATAATATATAATATATAATATAATATACTGTGGTGCACAGTTTAGTGGAGACCAATTCTGGGTTGCAACGAAAGTAAAGTTTGATTTAATAGCAGGCTTTTATTAGCAAGTTGAGAATTTGTTCCACGCTGTTCAACTGTGGTTCACAAGCTGCGCGCTTAAAAAGAATATTTCGGTAACTGGCTGCAACTTTCCGTGACTCCTTATAAGTAAAATAAACATCAACTCCTTCGTCGTAGCGTTGTAAGTGGAATACTGGGCAGTATGACAAACGTCGATGCCAAGAAACGCTTTTTGAAATTATATCAAAACGCGGTGTCGGTTTGCAAAATGATTTATAAAATTGTTCTGCTAACAATTCATTGCCACATTTAATTAATTAACACTGTTCTCGAAATAACGCGGTGTCGTTAAAAACAACCCAACATAAATGGTAACGATGCGATGTCGTAACGGAACTACGAAATGGTAATAACGCGGAGTTGCAACTAAGATTTGCTCTACAGAATGGTAGTATTGCGACTACGTCGTTGCTAGCTTCTCTCTACGAAACGTAGTAATGCAGTCGCGTCGTTTCTGAGCTGTGCTCTGTAGAACTATAGTAATGCGATGGCGTGGCTAAGCTACGTTCTGCGGAATGGAAGCAATGCATTGGCGTCGTTGCTAAGAAACGCTCTATAGAATTTTAGTACTATCGAGTTGTCGCTTAGCAAATTTCTAAAGAATTTTAGTATCGCGTCGTTGCTTAGCAACGCTCGAAAGAATAGTATATTATTGCGTCGTTGCTTAGCAACGCTCTATAGAATTTATAAAATGGCGTTGCTAAGCTACCCTCTATAGAAGTGTAGCAATGCGAACGCGTCGGTGCTCCACAACGCGCTGATAGGTGTGCGTTTGGTCCCCGTCCCGCAGCTACGCACGACATGCTGGCGTCTGTGATCCGGCTGCTGTCGCTGCACCCGGACCGCCTGGAGGAGGTGGGCGCGCTGCCGGACGAGGAGGACTACGAGGAGCTTTCGGCGGCGGCGGCGGAGGCGAGCGGCAGCGAGGACGACGACGAGGTGCACCGCGGCGAGGCGACGCTGCGGCTGCTGGTGGCGCTGCGCACGCTGCCCCGGCTGGCGTACCTGGCCGTCTTCCGCCCCTTCCGCCTGCGCCTGATGGCCGCCCTCGCGACCACGGCCCACCCGCCCCCACGCCCCCACCCGCGCCCACGCCCACGCACCCCACCGGCGACAATGCCACCGCCACCGCCTCCGCGCCCAGCGCCACAGCCCCCGCGCCCGTCGACCCCGTGGCGCTCTGGGCCCAAGTCAGGTGAGACACTGCGGCACGGCGCTCTTCCAGTGTTTAATGACGTCTTGCAAATTACCCATTCATGCGGTTTACTACTCTCGTGGACTCCGCCTGGAAACGTTTACAGGGTAATATTTTTTAAGAGGAATGTGTGAATCTACGTAGCCACATTCCTTAAATGTTAACACTTAATTATTCAAGTAAAATTGATTCTATTGGCTACACATAATGAAATGTGTAAATCATTTTTCTATGTACCCCTATTCACAAATGCTTTGACCAAATCGACGCGCAACTGCTCATGTCTTGTGCATTGCCATCAAGAGTTAAAAATGTCAAAAATGATTTGCTAAAGTGCGGGAATAGATTTTCAGCAAATGCTGATGTCTATAACTACAACACTCGACGTAGTAATCATATTCATCAGGTGGCATTATCAACAGCTCACTACAAAAAAAACTCATATACAATACACGTACATTATTTTACAACACATTGCCAGATGACATTAAACGATTAAATTCGATACGAAAGTTTAAGTTCCAAGTAAAATCTTTTCTGCTGCAAAACTATTTCTATACTATTAGAGGCTATACCGAGCATCCAAAAGGAAAGTAATATTAATTTTAACAATATTTAATTTATTTACCATTTGGAGTGTATAATTCTAAAGAACTTGTAACTAGTACTGTACTTCAGCTTCTGTGTCAATGACCCCCATCTCGTTCAGGTTTTCGTCCAGTTTCCCTGATCCCTGAGGAAATGCTGAGATGGCCCTCCTCGTTTTGCTTCTGGACATAAATGTAACTTAAAATTAACTCTTCTCCATTGCACGTTACACATAGTTTTTGGCTGTTTGTGACGTAAATAAGTGATGATTGAGTGTGTGTGTTGCGCAGGCGCGAGTACATGCTGGTGGCGGCGGCGCCGGGCGAGGGCGGCGACGCGGCGTGGCTGGCGGACGCGGCGCTGGCGCGCAACGAGCCGCTGCTGGGCCGCTTCCTGGCGGAGCTGCTGGCCTTCCAGGCGCTGGAGTACCTGGCCAGCTACGACCCCGCGCACCCGCTGCCGGCCACGCGCTCCGACGCGCGCATCCCGTGAGTGATTTGAAACGTCCAGTGTTTTATTTGTCCGTGTCCAACACAAGCCTAGGTTTTATTTTACATTCATTTTTTTAACAACTGGGTCATAACCACTGACGTTTTAATTGTAGGAACACATGAACAATAAGAACAGAGGCGGGATTCGAACCCGTGACCTTTCAAGCCGAGGCAGCTAAGGCACTTCAGCCTTCGCGACCTCGGCTATTCAGGCTGGCTATTGATGTTTTGTGGTCGATTTGGGGTTTTCGATGTTACGTTTTTGAATTGAAGTTTACCATACTAATTTTGTGAAAGTTAAAATTTAACAGACAAGAAAATGGACCATAGTTATTGCGTTGGAACGAAACGAAGGCGGCTTGTACTTCCTTCATCGCGAAGTCCATCTCCCGCTCGTGATGACCCTGTTGCCCTGGTGTTTCCTGCGTCCTCCCTCGTATTTCGCGCACGTGAGGTGGTCGCCGCGTGCGCTATGAGCGCAGCGCCCCCCCCCCCTCTTCCCGTACCTTTTTTTCGATGAATGTCGACGGACCATTCGAGATGACCCTGGACACTCGGGCACAGATTTGGTTAATTACGTAATTGTTTTTGGTCGATGTATTAACAGCGTTGTTGGATCGACGTTTTAATTTTGAAAATAGATGTTTGTTATCGATGTCGCATCATTAACAAGTGCACAGTTTGTTTAATAAGAGATGGTTTTTGGTCGATGTATTAACTGCGTTGTTGGATCAGTTGGTTTTAAGTTTGAAAATCGATGTTTGTTATCGATGTCGCGTCACTAGCCACATCGTGCCGCCTCTGCTCGCTTTGTGCGTTCCGTCGGTGAGACAAAAGTAAACAGGTCCATTTTGCACAATCATTCACTTGAATTCATCCGCTGTCTGGAGGGCGATTCAAGCGGCTGACCGATCTGATCGCCAGTTTGGGCGATGGCCAATACCAGATGAATGCCAGGGTAGTACTTTAGCAAACAGGCTATAAACTTGGCGCAGTCTTGCCTTCCTTGTTCTCCTCCCCTAGTCACCCCTTATACTTACGTTCACTGCACTACCTTACTAGTCGGGAGCTTGGTGCTTGCTCCGGCCGAGGCAGTGCCCTGCTGAAGGTTGTTCCTGGAGGGGGGAAACTCCGCAAGCAGTTGGGTTGATCGTCGCTGGACCACGTGTGCCAGCGCTGCCGACCTCTACCTCGCGATATTCAACTCGTACTACGCTTATGGAATTTATTTATAAACTTATTATACCTGTCCGCATCTCACCCCATCGCAACCGACGGACTTGCCCCAAAATTACCATTCTAAACAAAACGCAGTTAAATCAAACTCAATGTTACTTAGAACTGGGTTTACAAAAGTTTGAAAAGTAATTTTCAGTGGTAGCTGCATGATGAGCTCGTTGTATAGTTGCCGTTGACTTTGTCGCTCTTAGAATTCCGGAGTTGTGTGCGTATTTTTCGTGTGTTTATGTTCTTCCTTTCATTGAACGTGTGCATATTTTTTGGCATTTTCTTTGGAAAAAAGAAAAGGGGGGAAAATGCTACCATGTAAGACGCAACCCACTCGTCAGTCGTATGTAAATGCAAGGCGTTGCTCCAGAATAGTTATTTTAGTAACAGTATGAAACTAATAGGAAAGGTTACACTATTTTGGATTCTGTCAATCGATCCGGGTGTTTTACTTTGCATAAAAGTGATTGATTTTATTAACAGCATTACAATATTGTACTCGCCGTAAAGCATACCACTCACGCTAACAATTAGCTACATGCATATTGAAGGAATTGGACAATATTGAGTTTCGTTCTTAGAATTAAGAAAAGCAATACGACTAGTCCGGTTATACCAGCAATTTTGCATAAGGGTTTTCTTTCTTCTTTTTTCCCCTCATAAGACAACGACAAATGTTAAATAGAAATCTGTCTGGAATCACAATATTTGCCAGAAGAAAGGGTTTGGGATTGATAATATTCAGAAATATTTATAGTTTAATTTCTGAAAGTAATTTTTATCCATAAAATGGCAACATTTAGCAACTCATGTGCTGGAGTGATGTAGTGCAACGATAGTAGTAATCTTTGGATTCATGGGTTTGAACTTAGTGAGAATGGGGTCGATAAATACTACATTGTTACTTTTACGTACACACTTTTATTTATGTGAAACAATTTCTTAAATGACCTTTAAAAACGTTTATTGACTGTAGAGTTAAGTTATCTAAAGACTGCATTGAGAAATGTGTGAATCTATGTAATGTTCAGGGTCAAGAGGAATCGAGATCTATCGTTGAACCTGAGCAATGTTTATTGCAGGCATGAATTCCCGAAGATTGAAGTGAATTGCTTTCTTTCGGTATAATTTAACAAGTTTACAATTAATAAATATTTAATGTAGGGTTAATTTCTGACCAATAAAATATTTATTTTATTGTCTAAAGTTAAATGCATTAAGGGCTTGTGAAGACTCTGGAATATCGTGTGTTCAGAACTATCACTAGTAGGATATATTGTTTTATTTTATGCACATAAACCTTAAATTTGTTGCATTAAGAATTTGTTGCAAAAAGCTAAACTTTTGTACTTTTGCTGCTTGTAAAAATGGGGCCGTCCATAAATTAGGTTAGGCAAATTTTTAGTGTTTTAAATAATCGTATTCCCCCTGTGTAAACAATTTGAATATGATATTGAACGAAAACAAAAAAATTCGCGTTTCTATTAGTAAAAATAGATTATGGGGATTGTGTTAATGTTGTTAAAATTTATGTGATGGGGATTATGATTTATGGGGATTGTGTGTATGTTAAAATTTATAATAATTTCATCCAGTATTACCAATTACTTGAGACAACCTAAATAGAATGATGAAATATTTCCTTTTATTGCAGCAATTTGTACATAAATTATATTTAATTTAATTTTTTAATTTTTTCGTACAAGACTGAATAAAGATAATTTCTTTGTAGAGAAATTAAAAAAAAAAAAAATTACCTAACACTACACTAACATCCTCGTTCCCTATGTAACGTAACGTCGTTTAGCGCTTCCTTAAACTCCCTTCCCCTATTTAGCGGTACGCAATTTATGGACGACCCCTATGGGACCGAATAGTAAGTGCCATGTGTGTGTGTGTGTGTGTGCGCGCGCAGGGTGCTGATGCAGCTGGGGCGCGCGCAGCGGTGGCCGGAGATGCTCAACGACCAGCTGGACATCAACGAGATCCGCGCCGAGCCGCTGCTGCGCTACTTCAAGCCGCTGGCGCGTCTCCTGACGGTGGAGGCGGCGGCGAAGGCGGCACCGGCGGCGAAGCGGGAGGCGGTGGACCTGACGCCGCCGGTGCACGAGGCCAGCACGCCCAGCCCCTCGGCGCCGTCCCTAGAGCCGACGCCTTCAGCCGGCGGACGCGAGAAAGCCGTCGGACGGAGGCGCTGCCGGGCGCTACCGGACGGACCCCTCGGACGTCGGCGCCCAATGCAGATAAGCCAGGCGCAGCGCGGCGGCGACGACGAGAGGCGGCTGACGGCGCGGCGACGACGGACGTCCCCGCCGCCCCGGCGCAGCCGTCCACCAACGGACGGCCCCCCGCGCACGTCGTTGGCGCGGCGGGTCAGCGACGTGGGAACGGCGTGCTGACGGCGGTCGCTCGTGTTCTGGCGCGCTGCTGGGCCGCGCCGTTCGTGGCGGTGGCGCGCGGCTTGCTCACCAAGAGGCGCTACCAGCGCAACCGGCGCCCCGACGCGGACGCGCCGCCCAAGGCGGCCAACGGGGACGTGGAGGCCGCGGCCGCCGCCGTCCCCGAGGAGGCCGAGCCCGCCATCCCCGACGCCAACCAGGCGTAGCCGCGACGCGTCCCGGATGCAGCAGGCTACGGATCCGTGCAGCCCGCGACTCCCCGGGAGCCTCTGGTCAACAACTAGGCGATGTGCGGCGCGTGCCCCCCTGGGTCATTCAGTTTTGGACTTTTGCTACACCGGCAACCGGTCTTCGCCCGTCACCTTCCGGATGGAAATGGTGTCGGGGATGTGGCGACCCTGGGGGAGGTTCTGCCGGCGACTAATTGGAGACGCGAATAGTTCGATGTGGAGCTCGTGGTAACCAAGGAGGTTGGGTCCAACAACTGTGAACCAAGTGGAGCTTTCTGGTTCGCCTGCGGCAGTGACGTCGAGGGTTTTCCGAAGGAGGCTCTCATTCGCGTCGCCACGTCCCGGTTAGTGGCTGTGCAGTCGTGTAAGCTGCTATCCTGATGGAGGCTCACATCACAGTCCGAATTGAGTTTTTCGGCGAGGTCATGATCGCCGAAGGGCGGCAGACCGAACATCGATCACCACCGGAATAATCGCTACAGCAACAAGTTTCTTGGAGGCACATCCTTAAAATGCGGATGCTAAGCACCCGTAGCCTCCCAACTTCTGTAATAGTGTTGGTGGTGTGGTTGGACATGTCCTAAACAGGTGATTCCCGAGTAGATGAGCTGACAAAAACTCTTGGTTCACTTCAGTGTGCAAGGAAGAGTCCTCTGAACAAAGTTCTAGGCTCGTCGATCAGTCTCCCAGCGGTTTTTAAACGTAATCTTCGAAGCGATTTTCTTCATTCTACCATCTGTAACAGTCTCGTTCAATGCCACAAGGATGTTTTTTCTTAAACCTTGGCCAGAACGTCCACAGGAACCCAATTCCTCAAAGAAAGGCCTCTTTGATCACTGCCTCCAACTTCGTGCTCATTGTCGCCTCAGCCGCATCGCAGCGCCTCTTTCGCTACATTCCCTGTGCGAGCCGTTCGGAGTCGGCCACGAGACAAAAGACTGAGCGGCGCCCGTTGCGCGAATCGGCGGGCGTCCTTTATTTATTATTTCATTGTGTACATTAAAAACCTTCCTGTTGTATGTTGAATAAAAAACATCGTTTTTCAGAAGGCAGTGTGTGTGATTGAGTGCTGTATTCTGGAGAGAGGGAGTATACTACTCTCCCACTTCGTTTAGCAGGTTGTAGTAGGAGTAGGAGAGCTTCATAACCTGGAAGAAAGGATCTTGTGAGAGTAGTGTGTTTAAATCCATCGTGTGTACTTCCCTGTGATATGTTTTTTTTTTCTTTTTGTACAGAGAAATTGTTAATGTTATCATTGTATGATTAGTTTTTAGTTAATTTCAAAAGCATTAAAGGAATTCAAGATTCCAATTATAGTTTGTTTATTTCTAATTAATTTTGTCCTTTAACAAAACAAACATTGTGTCTTGTAACTGTGTTTGCACTTTTTTACCAAGTGTTATAGGAACAATGATTGTATTTTTAGACAGCCACTAGCAAAATCAGTTACTTTAAGAACAGAAAAAAGGGCTAAAAATGAGTCTATGCTCAAACGTTCTGATAAAACAGTGCGACTGCAACAGAGGAAACTCAATACTTTTGTCTGACCACATCAGCTATTATAGAACGTATCATAATTCACAATGAAATAAATTGTTTAATTAAGTTTTATTCATTTATATTGGTTCATAGTTTAATTTGAGGGAGGTGTGTACTATGTATCCTACTTTAACCACTTGATTCTTGAACTCAATTAAAATAATTCACTAAGGCTGTCTAAAACCAGAGTATGATAAACATGGTGAAAGTTTTTATTTTGCTCGCGTGTTTTATTTTGCACTCGGCCTATTAACCTTGTGTCCCATCCTTTTGTACGTGCAAAATAAATTTTTACTTTTACCAATTACATCATAAATGACTATTCTAACAGGTGTCTTATAATATAGATACTCCCTTAATTCCGACAACCCTGATTTAAAAGAAGTCGTCTTGTGGTAGCATATTTTACATGTGAGACTGTAAAGGAAAATCTTACCAAAAAAAATTACTGTTAAAGGCAGACAGAGACTGAGAGAGACTAATGTAGTCTCAATGACCAAAGAAGACTACTCAAAAGTAATTGCACTGCAGAAAGAGCAGAAAAATTGAAATATGAAGATGTGGCTATCCAACTTTTAAAGTATAGTATTGGAATTCCGAGTAATATATTAGTAATTTTGAGAAACTGTTATGAAAGCCATTATTAAGATAATATCAGACTTAATTGAAATGGTCAAGCGAATGTTATTAAGAAAAATTATGTCAAAGACTGTATACTCGTGAATTAAGTTCTTTCTAAGTTATGGTATATTAATTAGTGATATTTAATGATATGATTTACTTGAGTAATAAAAATTGTGAAGTACTAGCCTCCCCAAAAGTGCTGGGTGACATTTCGGCAATACGCAGAGCAGTAATCCGTGTGGGCCTTTGAGCACGCAACAGCATCAAGTACAGGACCTTGCATAGGTCCAGAGGGAAGTCCTCTGCTTCCCAGCCAGAGGTCCATACTGCCTCTGCCACAGCTCCTCCCTACAAACACCAATGAATTTTCAAAAATAATGGTTTTACAGAAAATTGCCTCATTTGGTTTCTGGGGAGGATATTTTGTTTTTATAAATTGATTATTTGCTCTTAGATTCCAAGAACATTTAGAAATTAGGCTCATAAGGTCCTCAGTAAAAATATATACTTGCCAGTTGACCATACTCCACATACATAGTAAACCCTCATAAGAATGGCTCGCTTAACATGAACATTTCCATAACATTAATAAAACTAGGGTTAATAAGGAATTACAATAATATGATCATTTATAATAATCCAATAACACATTTTTCCAGCATGAAATCTGAATATATTGGTCCCTTGGAATTTGCTATTACTGTATTCATTTGAGTGATTTCATGAGTCTTATTACACGTCTAGTGAGACCTCTTAGAAAGACCACACCTTATTAAAGGACAGATATTTCTGGGAATGTATATGGAAACCCTAACAGTACATTGTATATTGTTGTGGTCTATTAAAAGTACATTGTACTGTTAATAAACCACCCCCTTTCCCAGATCACTGACTAGCCTGTGAAAAGCAATTGATAGACAACTTTCAGGAAAATTGTAATATTTTACAATGAATTTCCAGTATATATAATGAAAATGGGTAACTTTGTAAACGTTATTCATGTGTCAAATATGCCTGACCTATCATCGAGTAAATTGGAACAAGAGGGGGAATTCTTGAAATCATGCCCCAATATACCACCACTGGTAAGGTATCCAGCTGCTTGCTCCATTTTGGTTTCATTTTATCTATGGCATATGGCAAGGGATATGAAAGTAATCTAACATTTAATTCTTTGAATTAACAGAGCCTTCCTTACCTTGCTCTCATGGAAAACCATCTTGTATTGAAGATAATCAAGGACGGTAGTGTGGTTTATTGATCTGCTTCTAACATGATTGTTATGGTTGGGTCCGGAATCTGTGCCAAGCACTCTAACAAGACCCATCGCTTGAATTTTTTTTAATTGTGTAAAGTGAGATTTTGAAGATGTAGACTAGCATGCATGCACAAACATATTTAGTATATTCTGGATAACTGAGATTCTTTATCAGAAGCCAACTACAGGAAATTATAAAACTGAAAATGAATTAAACATTTATTTTAACCAAGAAACAAATGTTTAAAATGAATTTAAAAATATAGTTATGTATGAAAAGTCATTTAGTTCATGAAAAAAGCAAATTAAAACTTGAAAATGTTTTTCATAATTGGTACAATACTTTCTTATATATTGAAAGAAAAAAGGAAAAAAAAGGAAAAAAAAAGAAAAAAAAATGAGGATTTCTTGAATTGATCACCCCTTTAAAAAATACTTTCCACAAGAAGCCACTAGTTGTCAGCTAATTCAGGTTTGTGTTATTATTTTGCATTGTATTATTTTTTTTTAAATTTATTTATTTATTTATAGTTGCATCAACATCGTGAATTGTTTTATAATAAGGTATTTCAAATATGATTAAAAGGATGAATCTTACAGTCTAAAATATTGCCGTAGGTATTTATCCATATTTGTAAGAGCCTTTGATAACTTGAAGGAATGAGGTCTTGCATTCATGGTATTGTTATGCCGGAAATGTGTAACAATACTGCATGTTGGTGTCTCTTCACTGCCTTAATCTTTTCCTGGGGGCAGGGTGCTATATTGAGCTACAGAGGCGATACCATGGAGTCAAGAACACATACTCTTGTAGTTTTGGTGAATGTTGAAATGTCTAATATTATTTGTATACTTCTTATATGGTTTCAGTTATTCTTATTATGTGAATTTAAACGACAAATCATCAAACAAAATAGCATGAATAAAGTAAGGTATAAACAAAATGGAAATTTGAGTTATAAAGATAGAATTTTAGGAAAAGAATTGGAGCCTTTTATTGTTACACCAGATTTGTGGATCATAGAAGTGTTTAGTGATAAAAATAGAACATCTAGCAGATAGTTTACAAAAAGGTGGAGTGTTTTTGCAGATGTTGTGAAAGTATCATTTTGCTTTAGTTCCCATTACTGTTGTTTGGTGGTGTTGAAACATGGATGAAAAGTGACATTAAAGATATTATTTGCCTGAAACATGTAAAAACATTCACTATCAAAAAGCCCCTAAAGAAATTAAACATAAAAAATTATTATTTGCAAACATTAACTCCTTGTCACTAATAGGTATATTTAAAGTTGCATAATTGATGCAATAACATTTTGCGGTGAGTTTGAAATAGTACAGCAATGATGGAAGAGAGCAGTTTGATATCCCAGACATTTACAGAGGACTAATTTATTATGTCAACAATTGAAAAAATCACTTAGAAAACACAATGTCATTTAAAGGAATTTCACAGACAATTCAGAATGATTTTGAAAATTTTCAAAAAATACTTTAAGGGCGTGAAATATAAAATGCAAATTGCAAACACTGCAAAATATATCTCTGTCCAAGCTGATGAAATGACTAACACAGCATGCAAAACATATTCTTTTTAGGATGTCAAGTGGAAGGTAGCGCTCACAGGAAATTAAATGCATTAGCTACGCTCTTAATAGAAAAGAAAAAGAGGCATGGAATTCAAGTCTTTAATTCTCAAGGAATTGATGGGAGTTTCAGCAAGAGCAAAGATAGAAGAATTGAATTACTTTACAAAAATTGAATATACCAGGTATGTTGAATGTTGTAACGGCATGTTATTATCATTTTATTTTTGTTCTGTCCCCCCTTAGTCACTACTACCAGTCACCATTTTTTAGCCATGAGACAGCTTCGTTTCAGATGTGCCATGTCCACTGTTGGTACCTATCTCATATTAGCAATAATGGTTCAAATAATTTGAACATTGAGTTAAAACTGCATGCATTTGAAAAGTGATAATGGTAATATCTGTAATAGTTACAGGATATTAAGTTTATGAATTATTGCATTTCTTGTCTAAGGCAATACAGTATTCAGTTTATTGTGAGAAGTAATTTCAAAACTTCAGGAACTAAAATGTGTGAAAAGAAGTAATATAAGATAATATTATTAACCCTTGATTTTTTCCCTCTTCTGTGGGAATATTTGCCACAGAGGTAGACATTAAAAGTAATTGATGCTTTTAGTAATCATGATATTCAGAAAAATTTATCGTTTTTTCCTACATGATCTTATTAAAGAGGACAGTCAAATATTTTGTTCTGAATTTTAATGAATATCTTTTGAGGAATTATCATGAAAATCCATAATAGTCTTGACAGATTTTAAAATTATGCATTTATAGGAACATTGTGAGGCATTGCTAGCGGGAGAAGAAAAGAAAAAAAAAAGTTTACATGATAAGGTTGCATGCCACAGCTGGAATGACCCTCTCTACTTGAAGGTTTAAAGCATACTGAAGCACTTGAGAAGGGAGAAGCTGCTTAGTGCACTTATAGTGCTCCCAGTGATAACGATACTTACTCTATCTCCCTCTCAGGCAGATGTTCCCACCAGAGGGATAAAACGTCAAAAATTATGTACAATGTGGCAGATGGATAGAATATATAACTGTGGGTTACTACTGTCCAATAAAAATATTGCAAATAAACTCCTATATGCAGAACTTGAAATAGGTTCTGGAGTTGTCACAAATAATGATTCTTTGTAGAGTTCTTTGAGCTTTGAAATATCTTGTCATATCTGTGATATTTTATTTTGTCTTTGTCTTGAATAAGCAGACTCAAGCTGGAATGCTTTCTTCTTTTACCTCGAGTAGAGT